CCGAACCAATCCGCCTGTCGATCTCCCGATCCCTCCTACCCTCACTCGTGTGTCCAAGTCTGTTCTACATTACCAATGACAACAGCCTCATCTTTATTAAGTGCAGTTACCTTATTAAAGGAAAGAAACCATCTTTTATAAAGCGCCTCTCAAGATAAAATCACAAAGCACTTCACAGTAAGAAGAGAAAATAATAGTTTTAACTTCAATTAAATCATCACTAAATCATTATCTTATTACTCCTAAATACACATAAATAAACACTTAATTACAAATCCGGCAACATGTTTGTCTCTTTTTTGTTTGCGTCTCACATTACAACAATATGATTTCTATCCCTTTAAAATAAGATTGGAGAATGGCACAACACACAATGAAGGTTGAAAATCCTGACCAAAGACTCAACCAACAGCAATCTGCTGAAAGAGGAACACCTACCTTCTTCGTCTTTGTCTCTCTTCCAATATCCTTTGAAGACGAGCTTTATGTGTGTTTATGAGTCGTCTGTGTTCTGAGAGCTAACAAAACAGCAGTTTTCGAGGGCGTCGCCATATTGGAATCCCGCCTTCTCCGTCTCCGGCAACCAGAACGCTGTTTAAAAGCGTTCAAGTTTCCCTACACTGTGACATTTTGATGTATTGTGAAATGTGTGGCAAAAGTCCTTGTTTGAAACGCTGAATTTTCCAATTGGTTGTTTAAGTAAGATCAAGGTCAAGTTTTCCAAAGAGATTTTGTGTTTTGGATATTCCTTTTAGTCCCGTTTTTCCTGCCATTATTCTAGGTTAAAAAAAATCACCATTATCTCTAATTTGTTAAATGATGTTGTTCTCTTGTACTAATGGCACATGTGTTTACTGAATTCTTCCGCTTCATGGTGATGTGATTTACTATAACATTAACATAATGGATTTAAATTGTATTGGTTTCTTTGTCTGCATCTACCACAACTCTTCTTTATAGTCCAATCTTTCAAGTCTTCAATTTCAAATAAATAAAAATGTGGTCTCATAGAAAACAAAGTTTGGGCTGGATTTAGCTGGAGTTTGACACATATTTGTGTTTTAGCTGCAAACTGGGACAAGACTCTCCAATTCGGACAACCAGAGTGAAGTTGATGACTCAACCTCCCATCCTGCTGGGCCACCAGAGTCACCAATCACTGCTAATCCTGCAGGATCTAATGGTAAACATTGATCTTAGAAAGTAATAAATGCTTGTGTATGTATTGGGCTTATGCTAGATCATTTTTCATTTGCTGTTTTCAGACATCTTCCAGTGTGATGCACAGAGTCCTGCGCAGACATCAGAACGGTGTTCTGTTCCAGTAGGACCTGGTGGTATGCTTCTCATTTTGTAAAGGCTCTTTAAATTTAATTGAATTTTGCAGTCAATCACTTGCACATTCTGAATGCCATGAATGTTAAAGGTTGAGAGATATAAGCAACTGACTCAGACTTATTTAATTTACTTCCCACCAGACATTTCCCAGTCCAGAGCAGAGGGTCCTGTGCAGCCTCTCCTTAAGGTTTTCCCCAAGACGCAACATGGCAACCGCAAGAGGGCATTCAACGAGTCATGGTACAGAGAATACACGTGGTTGGAGTACTCCATCAGTAGAGACTCAGTATTTTGTTATGCCTGCCGCCATTTCTCCCTTCCAAATGCCCCGTCTTCTGTATTCAGAACAGAAAGTGGTTTCTCCAACTGGAAGAAAGCTTTGTGTAAAGAAGGTGGCTTTAAAGACCACTCTAAATCAGACCACCACCAAAATGCTACGTTTGCATGGAAACGGCATGAAACGGCCACTCAGACAAAATCATGCATGACCGAGTCTTTTAACACACAGAGAGAGAAAAGAAAATTAAGGAGAATCAGACGTATATTAAAACTATTGCAGAAGTCCTGCTTTTAACTGCCACACAGAACATTTCCCAGGGGGGGTCACAGAGAATCTGAGGACTCTGGTAACCGAGGTAACTTTTTGTCTATTTTTGAAGAAATAGCTGAGCATGATTCATTTCAAGAGAAGCGCATGAAAGCTCACGCTAATGCCAAACATACCAGCAAAACCATTCAAAATGAAATGTTGGAATGCCCGGCAGGAATGGTTCAAGAGGAAATAGTAAGGGAGGTTAAACAGAGTGAGGTGTTCAGTATAATAGCTGATGAAACCAAAGACCTTCAGAAAAAAGAGCAAGTGTCACTGGTCATCAGATATTATTACAGAGGGGTCATACACGAGAGCTTTCTTGACTTCATGAAAGCTGACAGCCTAGATGCAGCAGGGCCTTGAAAAACATGGACTAGAATACCGCAACAAACTGGTTGGCCAGGGCTACGATGGTGCTGCTGTCATGAGAGGCAAGCACTCAGGTGTGTGTACAAGGATTCAGGAAGTAGCCAAATATGCATTTTATGTGCACTGTAACGCTCATTGTTTGAACCTTGTGATTGTTGATAGTGTGAAGTCCGTTTCTGAGGCTGACTGCTTTTTCTCACTTCTTCAGAAACGACATAGTTTTTTTGTCTGGATCGTATGTGCACACAAAATGGCATAGCATTCGGAGAGAAACGTATGACGGTCCGCCTCGTGAACTTCCAAAGCTAAGTGACACTAGGCGGGCTTGCAGGTACGCAGCCTGTCACAAGCTGCTTGACAGACTCCCAGCAGTGTGCCGTTTACTGCAAGAAATTGGGCTGGAAAGTCAAGGTGATCGGGCAGTAGATGCTCGTGGCTTACTGGCCCAAATTGATCTTAACTTTATTGGACTCTTGGCTATGTTCAAAAAAGTCCTGGGTCAGTCCAAGTTTTTGTCAGACATGCTACAGTCGCCCTCACTGGACCTCTCAGCAGCAGTCAGTCTTGTGGATTCCTTACTGGCCACGTTGCAGAAATACAGGAGTGAGGCCTTTTTTGAGGTTGTATGGAGGGAGGTGGAGGAAATGGCTGTAAAGTGTGATCAAAGTTTGGAAAAGACTGAGAAGAGGCAGCCTAAGACAAATAGGCGGCTACATGATTACATACTTACCACATCAACTGGTGAGCGTAGAGTTGATAAAAATGACAGGGAAAACTTTAAAAGACATATTTTCTATCCAGTTTTGGATTCAATGACAGGTGAACTTCAACGACGTTTCTCTAAGCCCAACTGCACAATCATGAAGGGAATCTAAGCACTTCATCCTCAAAGCATCACCTTTTTGCAAGAAGATGCTCTTTTTTCCTTTGCCACATTTTTTGATTCAAATGTTGATTACCTGGCCGGTGAGCTTCAACAGATAAAGAGACCGTTGGATTGTAAAAAAAAAAGTGGGATGCAGAGGCTTACTACACTTCTAGAATTTGTAGTATTCCCAGAACCATTCAAGGAGCCGTTTCTTGAATTATTTAGGCTTGCGATAATAGCCATTGTGATTCCGGTGAGCAGTGCTTCATGTGAGCGCAGCTTTACGGCACTAAGGTTGATTAAAAATCATTTGCGAACAACAATGACAGATGAGCGCTTGAGTCATCTTGGGGTGTTGAGCATCGAGTCCCGACGAGCAGAAGCATTAGACAAATGAATTTGAGAGACCGTTTAGTTCTCATCACTAAAACCAAAGAATAATGCTCTTTTAGAAGAGTAGGATGTACAGTAGACAACCACATGAAACTGCATGTTTGTTACAGAGATGTTTTAAACTAAATGAGTTAAGGGCGAAATGAGATCAGGACTCATCTGCTTTATGCCAAGGAGGTTTGGTAATGACCATAATAAGTCACTGGTCAGAAGTCATTGGTGATTGACAATAATTCTTTCAACTTTTTGTTTTGGGCAATAAAGTAAAACATGCTCAGCTTTTTCAAACTGATTCCATGTCATTGTTGCATGTCAGCCACTGCGCTGTTAACACGGGTGAGACGTCATTCCCAATTTCGACTTCCAACTTCCGAGGAAAATCGAACGCACGCTGAGAGTCAGCAACTCGAGTCTGCTCCAGACACCGCAGCAGGGCTGTAGCAAGCAGCTGTAGCATGTAATTCACAAATGCTTCCATATTTCAATACACCTCAGACTGGATTATGTTGCCAACCTGTACATAATACAATAGATAAGCCACTATTACATTGTTACTGGTAGTTATTAAATGTTGTTATAATTTCCAGAAGCTTGCTGCTGAACACGTGACTGAAATACATAAATTGTACTGATTATATGTGACTTTAGACATGTTTAGACTAGGATGAGTGATGGTAAACCTTCACTAAACGTCATGAGTGATAAAGGAAGCCATAGAGATAAGGAGACGTGGATGTGCGGGACCATGAACAGAGACAATGGGGTCTACACATTGGATCGTGCATGGGACTGTGTCATCAGTGAGGGGAGAAGGGGCAGCAGAGGGCGACAACGTCCTCTGCTGCCCGCGGATAAACGGAGTAGGAAGTGACGCCACCATCAGAGTCAGTTTCCAGCCGCGAACGAAACTGTCTGCAAGGTAAAAAAAAAACAACTTTTCTGTGTTTTAAAAAAGAACCAAAATTGCAACGTCATACTAAAACAAGTCACTTTAGTGTTAACCCTCTCAGGCTCAAAATAAGTTTTGATAAAAGGACAAACAACTAAGTCCTTCAGGGGAACTTCTGAGTTAGAAATGCTCATGAAGTACGTATGTGGAGTAACCAGGTAGGTAGGTTTTTACGTTGCTAATCTGCAACGCCTGCCTCCAGAGGGTTAAACAAATTATTAAATCTGAAATCAGCTTTAGTCTTCAGTTTGTTCTCAATGTGCATGGCATAACGGATGGTGGCCCTCGGTAGTTTAGAAACTCTGGATACGGCCCTGCTACCGTCTCTCATAAGAAGCGCACGCGAAGCACCACAGCTAGAGAGGAAGACGCCAGTGGCTTTTCAAAATAGAGTAAAAATTTAACGTTTCATGATATTTAAATTACTTCAAACTACGATTATGGTTGGCATAAGTGCGCAAATATAATCTATATGTGTGTCACGCCTTACGTTGTTGTACAGTAGTGTAACGGGTTACGATTTATTATGGTTGGACTTTTATGTTGAAGGGATGTTCTTGGCCGGCTGTGTGCAGAGTTCCGGTTCGGTTGTTTAGAAGAAAACGAGCTAGTGTGATCGGAGATCGTTAACGGTGTTTCTGCTGGAGTTAAGACGTGGGCTGCGGCCAACAGTAACCCGGAATAAAGATCCGAAACGGAAACAACAAGTTGGAGTCATTACCATCTCTTAGAAAAGGCAACAAAAGTGTGTTTTATAGGTGTGGTGGCTTTTGCTGAGCCGTGGCGGTGCGACACGAACTAGTTTAGCCCAACAGAAAGGCCCCGCGGCTGGCTGGACCCAGCTCGACACAGCAGCAGAGCGGTAAGCTTCATATCACTCTAAAATGTCGGCTAACTTTACTGTACACGTTCATTTACGGGCATTAGCAGCGTGCTAGCATTAGCATCCCACCTGCTAACGCTAGCACAACATGCTAGTAAAGTTAGCACCCAGATTAATGTGGATTCGGACGATTTTCGTGGAATAAAACGTGATCTGGAAATTGTGATGAACGCCTTTTTACACCAGATGATAACCTTCCACTGACTGTAGCAGCAGAGCGCCTGTGTGTGTTACTTGGGGTGACCAGATTTAAAAAACTGAAAACTGGGACACCAGAATTTTACACAAAATTAAAGACTGACAAACCTTGCATGTGACTTAACTGCTTTTTATTGTACAAAGTGTAACAACATCTGAACATCCTATTAAAAATCAGGACATTCTTTTTTAGTGCAACGTCTTGTTATTTTCTTTTTCTAAATAATACTGTATTTGTGAAACACATTGGGCAATAGTAAATGTAGCCCTTTTGTGAAAAGATAAACAAAGAATTTAACTGACCTTAATAACAGCTTTTGATTGTAGAATGTGCAAGAACAGAAACATTTGATCTATATTCAAAATAAGGGCAGTTTTGCTAATATTTTTAGTGCAATCCTTTTCCAAAACAATACAGTATTTTTAAACACATTTGTTTAAAATGGGACCAAGGCTGGGTGAAATCGGGACAACATAATTGGTTTGTAAAAACCTTTGGGGACACAGGACAAATGGCTCAAAATCGGGACTGTCCTGGGTAAACTGGGACACCTGGTCACCCTACTCCGTGAGTGTGATGTGATGTTAGCATCCAGTAAATAAATCCCACATCAGCTAAAGAGCAGCGCGACTAAGTGGTTAAAGTGCGTCAGCACAGCGGATTTAATACGAGTTTTAAAGAACAATCTCTGAGTGAAGTGAGGCTAGTTTTTGTCTCTCTGCAGATATAAAAACCAACTGCTAATATGGTATTAGGTGCAGCTGCTAATACAGTAGCAGGTGCAGCTGCTAATACGGTAGCAGGTGCAGCTGCTAGTACGGTAGCGGGTGCAGCTGCTAGTACAGTAGCGGGTGCAGCTGCTAATACAGTAGCAGGTGCAGCTGCTAGTACAGTAGCAGGTGCAGCTGCTAATACGGTAGCAGGTGCAGCTGCTAATACGGTAGCAAGTGCAGCTGCTAGTACAGTAGCGGGTGCAGCTGCTAATACGGTAGCAGGTGCAGCTGCTAATACGGTAGCAGGTGCAGCTGCTAGTACAGTAGCGGGTGCAGCTGCTAATACGGTAGCAGGTGCAGCTGCTAGTACGGTAGCAAGTGCAGCTGCTAGTACAGTAGCGGGTGCAGCTGCTAATACAGTAGCAGGTGCAGCTGCTAATACGGTAGCAGGTGCAGCTGCTAGTACAGTAGCGGGTGCAGCTGCTAATACGGTAGCAGGTGCAGCTGCTAGTACGGTAGCGGGTGCAGCTGCTAGTACAGTAGCGGGTGCAGCTGCTAATACAGTAGCAGGTGCAGCTGCTAGTACAGTAGCAGGTGCAGCTGCTAATACGGTAGCAGGTGCAGCTGCTAATACGGTAGCAAGTGCAGCTGCTAGTACAGTAGCAGGTGCAGCTGCTATAACGGTAGCAGGTGCAGCTGCTAATACGGTAGCAAGTGCAGCTGCTAATACAGTAGCAGGTGCAGCTGCTAGTACAGTAGCAGGTGCAGCTGCTAATACAGTAGCAGGTGCAGCTGCTAATACGGTAGCAGGTGCAGCTGCTAATACGGTAGCAAGTGCAGCTGCTAGTACAGTAGCAGGTGCAGCTGCTAATACAGTAGCGGGTGCACCTGCTAGTACAGTAGCGGGTGCAGCTGCTAGTACAGTAGCGGGTGCAGCTGCTAGTACAGTAGCGGGTGCAGCTGCTAGTACATTAGAGGGTGCAGCTGCTAGTACAGTAGCGGGTGCAGCTGCTAGTACAGTAGCAGGTGCAGCTGTTAATACAGTAGCAGGTACGGCTGCTAATACAGTAGCAGGTGCTAATGCAGTAGCGGGTGTAGCTGCTAGTACAGTAGCGGGTGCAGCTGCTAGTACAGTAGCGGGTGCAGCTGTTAATACAGTAGCAGGTACGGCTGCTAATACAGTAGCAGGTGCTAATGCAGTAGCGGGTGCAGCTGCTAGTACAGTAGCGGGTGCAGCTGCTAGTACAGTAGCGGGTGCAGCTGCTAGTACAGTAGCGGGTGCAGCTGCTAATACAGTAGCGGGTGCAGCTGCTAGTACATTAGAGGGTGCAGCTGCTAGTACATTAGAGGGTGCAGCTGCTAGTACAGTAGCGGGTACGGCTGCTAATACAGTAGCAGGTGCTAATACAGTAGCAGGTGCTAATACAGTAGCAGGTGCAGCTGCTAATACAGTAGCGGGTGCAGCTGCTAATACAGTAGCGGGTGCAGCTGCTAGTACAGTAGCGGGTGCAGCTGCTAATACAGTAGCAGGTACGGCTGCTAATACAGTAGCAGGTGCTAATACAGTAGCGGGTGCAGCTGTTAATACAGTAGCAGGTGCTAATACAGTAGCAGGTGCAGCTGCTAATACAGTAGCGGGTGCAGCTGCTAATACAGTAGCGGGTGCTAATACAGTAGCGGGTGCAGCTGCTAATACAGTAGCAGGTGCTAATACAGTAGCAGGTGCGGCTGCTAATACAGTAGCAGGTGCAGCTGCTAATACAGTAGCAGGTGCAGCTGCTAATACAGTAGCAGGTGCAGCTGCTAATACAGTAGCGGGTGCAGCTGCTAATACAGTAGCAGGTACGGCTGCTAATACAGTAGCAGGTGCTAATACAGTAGCGGGTGCAGCTGTTAATACAGTAGCAGGTACGGCTGCTAATACAGTAGCAGGTGCTAATACAGTAGCAGGTGCGGCTGCTAATACAGTAGCAGGTGCAGCTGCTAATACAGTAGCGGGTGCAGCTGCTAATACAGTAGCAGGTGCGGCTGCTAATACAGTAGCAGGTGCAGCTGCTAGTACAGTAGCGGGTGCAGCTGTTAATACAGTAGCAGGTGCAGCTGCTAATACAGTAGCGGGTGCAGCTGCTAATACAGTAGCAGGTGCAGCTGCTAATACAGTAGCAGGTGCAGCTGCTAATACAGTAGCAGGTGCAGCTGCTAATACAGTAGCGGGTGCAGCTGCTAGTACAGTAGCAGGTGCAGCTGCTAATACAGTAATTTTCCTGACGGACCGAAGGCAGTGCGTGCGGCTGGGGAAGAATGTTTCCACCATTCAGACAATTAGCACAGGATCTCCACAGGGCTGTGTACTTTCTCCTCTGCTCTTCTCCCTGTATACAAACTGCTGCACCTCGAGCTATGACTCCGTTAAACTAATCAAGTTTGCAGACAATTACATGTCTTATCAGCGTACCAGAGCTGGGCAGAAAGGACAACGCCCTGAGACTTACTTTAAAATTATGTATGTTTTCTTTGTTTGAAATAAACTAAACTAAACTAAAACATGATTACTTAAAAAGAACATTTAAGACGGGAAAATACATTAAAACTTTAACTTTCACTGACACTCGTCTGTATGAGCGTCAGAAATCTGATCAAATCAGCTGTAAAATAATGAAAACAACAGTAAAAATGCTGCTTTGCTTTGTAGAGTCCACATCCAGAAGGCTGGAGCCGTGTTTCACTGACAGGCTGTCAGACTAACGCCCTGATGAGCTCAGCTGGGACACACTGGTCTGATGTTTAGGTAAGTGAACATCTGCTTCTCCAAGGCCTTGAGATGCTAGTAAAAATAATGTAGCTAGTGCTAATGTTACTTTTCTTCTCCTCTGAGGAACACAGAACGCTCAGATGTTGGAGCTTCACGTCACCTACTGAGGAGCACCAGTAAAGAGACGGCGTCTGGACCAGACCAAAGTGAGTGATGACACTTTAGCCCTACACCTCAGCCTCTAGGAGCCACCCTCATCATCATTAACTCATTCACTGCCATTGGCGACAAAAGTTGTCATTTTAAAAGGAACCCAGGTTACAAAACTCTGTGCTTCTTAAAAGATAAATGTTAGTATCAGTTATATTAAAATGGTGTAAAAAACCTTCTTGATGTCTTAATCTTTATAAAATTAGTAAAAATAGTTTAACTCGTAGGTCGCCATTGTTGTTAGCGTCGCACTGCACTCTGGGTAGTGATGTCATATGGTTGTACCTCGGTTGCACCGGCGGCTTTGGGACCCTGTAGTGACTGTTGAGCGACATCAACACGTCATCTGTTCAGCCTTTTCACTTTGAACCAGTGATGACATCACTGATCATGTGTCACAACACGAGCATCAACATGAAGAGCAAGAAGGGCGGGATGAAGCGAGAGCAGGACAGAACCGGTGGCGCGTGTGCAGCAAATGCGTCTCCATGGTAACTGAGAGGGAGAGAGCTCACATTTGTGTCAGCAGAAGTTATCTGTAAGCTATCGTGTGATCAGATTTATTCATGAATGATTTAGGAGAATTTTAGCATCCAGAGCTGTCGTGTGCTTCATAGATGATTAGGATATTCAGTGAAACCACTTTAATCATTGTTGCAGATATTCTATATGTGGACAACACTGTGTTGCTACACTTGCTGCTTGTTTTACTGACGGGAGAGGTGAACGTTCAGCTTCATCCATGACGAGTGGCGTGTCCGATGGTTGGCTGAACGTGACAGAAGCGGCAGCTGCAGGAGCGGGTTGTCGGCTCAGGACAGCGTCCAGCGTCTCTCGTCCCTCCGAGGGCGTTTAGGCTCCTTGTGTGGGAAAATGGTCGCTAAAGCGTTTAGTTTCCACCTTCTCTTATACCCAGCCGCTCTGGTGAGCTCTTTAAGTATTCGTGGTCGACTATAAGCCTCAAACGCATCAGGAGAAAAATGTTGGGAACACAGCCGCAGATCTTTGGGAAGTTGTGTCCGTCCACAGGCATCTTCCCACTGCTTTCTCCTCTTGTTGCCAGTGGGAAAGCTGTAAACTCACATCACTCCCCTTGTTGCCCTCTGACTGGAAATTACATCCAAAAGCAGCACAATGCAGCATTTTACTTAATAATTAATACGGTGAGAGCGTAAACAAACACCAGCGTCAATAGCTGTTCTTCCAAGAGCAACCAATATACGTCATCGCCCCCAGAGAGCAAACATGGCGTCCTACGTATGTCAACAAATGTACTAAATATTACAGATTTATAAATAAACAGTAATATTTTGTGTGTTTCTAACAACATAGTTTGGTACAACAGAAAACTTGTGGCTTATCAGGGCACACACGTCCTCATAGCCGGTGTTTGTGACGCCCAGGCCCAATGCCCCCTGACGCTACTGGTTACTGACGTGGACGAAGTTTTACATGCGTTTAAAGAACTCTCAGCTTGAATGTGCTGTTAACATGTTTATTGCTTTGTAAGTGTCCATGATTCAGTTACACAGGCACAATTTTATTTCTGTATGTTTACCTGCCCCTGATTGTCCGTGCGTTTGTGATCACTCAGCCACCCAGTCCTCGCCACGCGGTAGAAACTACTACCCAGATTAAATAAGCGGGAGTGGCTACCACTCAGGCCCTGGGCCCAGAGGCGGAGCTGGCCTAAATGGCGCCCTGTGTGAGATCCTCCTGTGAGGATCTCCTAGTTTGGCCCGGTGTCTGATCAGGTTTATATCAATAACTAACTCTCTTGTTTATAACAAACAACAAATTATTTTACACCCAGCTTTCACAATTGTAGTACATGAAGGGATGGACATGGTCAGAAACAATGCTCAGGTAGCCCGTGGCATTTAAGCCATGCCTAGTTGGCACTAAGGGGCCTAAAGTGTTCCAAGAAAACATGCCCCACACCATGACACCTCCACCACCAGCCTGCACAGTGGTAACAAGGCATGAAGGATCCATGTTCTCATTCTGTTTACGCCAAATTCTGACTCTACCGTTTGAATCTCTCAACAGAAATGGAGACCCATCAGACCAGGCACCATTTTTCCAGTCTTCAACTGTCCAGTTTTGTTGAGCCGGTGCAAACTGTAGCCTTTTTTTCTGATTTGTAGTGGAGATGAGTGGAACCCGGTGGGGTCTTCAGCTGTTGTAGCCCGTCCGCCTCAAGGTTGTGCGTGTTGTGGCTTCACAAACGCTTTGCTGCATTACTCAGTTGTAACGAGGGTTAGGGTCTCCTATCAGCGTGAATCAGTCGGCCCATTCTCCTCTGACCTCTAGCATCAACAAGACATTTGGCCCACAGGACTGCCGCATACTGGATGTTTTTCCCTTTTCACACCATTCTTTGTAAACCCTAGAAATGGTTGTGGGTGAAAATCCCAGTAACTGAGCAGATTGTGTAAAACTCAGACCGGCCCGTCTGGCACCAACAACCATGCCACGCTCAAAATAGCTTAAATCACCTTTCTTTCCCATTCTGACCTTCAGTTTGGAGTTCAGGAGATGGTCTTGACCAGGACCACGCCCCTAAATGCAGGGTGGTAGAGACGTATGGAGACGGTCGTTCTGAGACATGAGACTGTGTGTTGTTGGTGAACATTAATGCAGGAGTGTGTAAAACAGCTTATGTTTAATTAACATTAAATAAAATATTTATTTAACTTGACATAAATTGTAATGCTTGACTGTTGTGCTACAGCCATGGGAGGAACATTTTGGGTCCCAGCCAGATTCTCTGCTTCCCTGCTGCTCTCTCCATCATCATGCTGCTCCTTGCTCTGCCTCTCCACTTGTCTCTCCTTCACTCACCTCCTCCACTTCAGCCTGCTTGTCTAATATGTAGAGTTCTGTGCATACTGAAATCACCTCTGTTGCTATTCAGTGGAAATGACCAATCAGATTAACCTATGAGGCTTAGATCATATATAAATATCCCGGATACTTATATCGATCTAAGTTCATACATCAACCTGTTTGATCTAATTTTAATCCAAAGATTAATGTTTATTGTAGATAATTAAATTTAATAGCAAAAGTAATTTTTGAATCGGAAACTAGGATCTTTGCTTTGAAATAACCAGAAATATTACACCTTTTCTGTGTTTCGTTTCAATAAGGAGGCGATTTTAAAAATGAAGACATTTTATTACTAACAACATTAAACTTAAAGATTTGAAACGACAATTATAAAATGACAATTCATGGATGGCAATTTTAATGACAATTTTAAACAGCTTTGATGTTAAACTTGTTTAAAAGCAAACCCCTGTGTTGGATGGAAAACTAATTTGAGAATGGTGAGTTTGGATGCGTGAATGAAGTTCTGAGAGCTTTCTTTCAGAGAGAGAGAGAGAGAGAGTAGTTCTGGGTGAAGCGTTGGCTTGCAGCTAACCTTCGATTCTTAGATATAAATAAACGCATACAGACGCCTTCTGTGTTCTACCTCACCTATCAGACGACCCTCTGGTTGGATCCGATTCTTGGCGTTAGCTGCAGTTACAGGTGCGTTCATTCGAGGCTATCCTGTCGACGTGACAGAACAGCTGTGTTGAGGCTGGGCGGCCGACCCTAATCCTCGGGATGCTCTCGTCGCCATGAAAGTATCAGCTTGGTTCAAGAACTGAATCTAAGCTGCAAAAGCTCTTGGTTTTCACAAACCTCAGAACACACCCCTCTCCCGACAGGAGGCTGGTAATATGGGTCAATGTGAAGCATTTACCTTGAAGTGAATCCTGCATGAGCTGGACGGCATCTTCTGGTTACTGAATAAACATTACTGATTATCATAAATAATCTTTGGTTAATAATAATTATTAATAAGCCATTTCATTGATTAAAATACATTTAATATGAAAAGGATGATTATTTATGATGATTATTATAAACCTTAATAATAATGAGCTTTTATTACGTTATTGGATAATAGTTGATGTCCTTCATCCTGGGATGGACACAGATAAACAGTCAGGCTGATGATTATTCTTCAGACACTCCGGCTCCTGATGGCTTTAATCTGTGGATAAAGGTTATATCTTGACCCAGCTGTGACCTAGCTGGAACGTGAACTTTGTCCCAGAAAGACGGTCATCCATAACGCTACAAATATATTAGCCACATGTAAGATTTCCTTCAATCACCAATGGGAACGTTGGGAATATCACACGTATCACGGTACAGATCACTCAGAGGGACCTGAGTCACGATAAAGAACAATGAGCATCTTCATCTAACGTTACCTCAACATCTTCCTCGGCTTCCTTCCTCTTCTTCTGAAAATGCGAGCAGAAATGAGTCTCGGTGGGAACATGACCCGACATGAAGCTGTACGCTGTTACCGATCTGGAATTACGCATTAACGACAGACCACATTGACTACGTTACTGTTCACATGTAGCAGCGTGCGTTAGCATGAAGCTGGTTTTCACAGGTCTGAACTAAAAATGCCTTCTTCTAACGTAAGGTTCCTTTCTTCCACCTTTTCTCTCCCTGTAGTTTTCTTTAACTCGTGAGAGCAGCGCACCGCACAGAAGCCGGCTCCTTCGCACACGGGGAAAACGGCAGTACTGGTGTTTCAAAGTAAAATACATTATAAAGTTTTGTTATATTTAAATTCATTTTAAACTGTGATAATTCATTCTCTGTAGTTTTGTGTCAGTTTAAGGAAGAAGGAAGAGCTCCTGAAGAACTGAGGCCTCCTTTGAAGCAGAAGGACATGGAGCCCCTCAACATGAAGCAGGAAGAGGAGGAGCAGCTTGATGAGATTAAAACTGATGCCACCAACATTCCATTCTCTGCAGTTTCTCATCAGGTTAAGGAAGAAGGAAGAGAAGTTCTGTTGTCACAGTTTGATCAGAACCAACCTAAAGACAGAGATCTTCCAACCAGCAGCACCACTGACCAGATGAAAGCAGAAAGTGGTAGAGAGGACTGTGGAGGAGCAGAAACTACCAGGAATCCAGATCTAAATCTTTATGAATATGATTCTAACTCTTCAGAGACTGAAGTCAGCAACGATGAAGATGATGACCAGGATGGCAACAATTCTGACTGTCAACTGAAACTCTTGTCAGATTCTGAGCCAAACACCAAAGATCATAACAAAGACCGGAAGGAGAGCAGGTCTTCTAAATCACATGTTAAGGCTGTCAAATCTTTCAGCTGCCCAGAGTGTGGTGAACAGTTTCTCCATGAGCGGTCTCTCCAGAAACACATGAGAGTGACAAGTCATTCAGGACTGAAGTCTTCAAGCTGTTGTGTTGATAAGAAATGTGTTAGGGTGAAGCAAAATGTAGACTCTAGCAGGAAAGTTCAGAAAAAAATAAAATCATTTAGTTGTGACAACTGTGGAAAAAGTTTCAGCCACTTATCACATTTAAACATTCACATGAGAGTCCACACAGGACAGAAGCCTTTTGCTTGTGAGCTCTGTGGACAAAGTTTTAGTGTAAAGTCAAGTTTAAACAGTCACATGAGAGTCCACACAGGACAGAAGCCTTTTGTTTGTGAGCTTTGTGGTCAAAGGTTTACCCAAAAGGTACATTTAGACTCTCACATGAGAGTCCACACAGGACAGAAGCCTTTTGCTTGTGAGCTCTGTGGACAAAGGTTTACCCAAAAGGGAAGTTTAGACTCTCACACGAGAGTCCACACAGGAGAGAAGCCTTTTGCTTGTGAGCTCTGTGAAAAAAGATTTAGTGTAAAGTCAAGTTTAAGCAGTCACATGAGAGTTCACACAGGACAGAAGCCTTTTGCTTGTGAGCTCTGTGAAAAAAGATTTTGTGTAAAGTCAAGTTTAAACAGTCACATGAGAGTTCACACAGGACAGAAGCCTTTTGCTTGTGAGCTCTGTGGACAAAGATTTTTCCAAAAGGACCATTTAGACACTCACATGAGACTCCACACAGGAGAGAAGCCTTTTGCTTGTGAGCTGTGTGAAAAAAGATTTACCCAAAAAGGACATTTAAACACTCACATGAGTGTTCACACAGGACAGAAGCCTTTTGCTTGTGAGTTCTGTGGACAAAGATTTACCCAAAAAGGACATTTAAACACTCACATGTTTGTTCACACAGGACAGAAGCCTTTTGCTTGTGAGCTCTGTGGACAAAGATTTACACAAAAGGGAACTTTAGACACACACACTAGAGTCCACACAGGACAGAAGCCTTTTGCTTGTGAACTCTGCGAACAAAGATTTGCTGAAAAGAGAAGTTTAAACTTTCACATGAGAGTCCACACAGGACAGAATTAATGAACATACATAAAATATATATTTTGGGACTTCTGAGGGTGTTGATTGAAAAGTACTACTGATCTGGAAACTCTTTTAACTAAAATGAAAGGCAGCAGTTTTAGTAGATGTTTTGTTTTTGGGGAAGAAAAGGTTGAAAATAAAATGTTTTTTTGCCACTGAAGTGTTTTATTAAATCTCTTTGATCACTATTCTGTTTGTTGTTCGCTGTTTCTGGAGTTTAAACGCAAATGCTGATGTTTTGCAAAGTGACAAGGCTCACCATCAAAGTCACCAGATTAATCCACTCGTGTAATTATCTGTCATGCAAATAAACCTGATCAAAAATGAATACCTATATTATCCATATTGTTTATAATCCAAATACAAATGGAAACTCGGATTCACAGTTAGCAAAAGTATAAATCTGGTTTTCTCAAAAATCAGACTTCTGTGCAACAGTTATTAACCAGAATACGTACAATGAACTGTTTTTAACATTTTTCTGGTAAAATGGTGCAAACTTATTTGAAATAACAGAGCATAAGATTTACTCACCGATTCCAGAGTTCATCTAGCTCCACTGCACGGTGTAGCGGCTCTCCCTCGCACATCTACACATAACATTTTACTTTCTGTAATTACAAATCCAAGTTTCACTGTGACATATAGAAAAAGTTCATGTACAAGTTAGAAGGTTTTACTTTGCTGTTTTAACGCTAACAGGGTAAGCATCGGATGGAAAGGTAGCGAAAGCAGGTTAGCTTCATGTGGCACTCAGCAAACTGGACAAAACCCGCCACTTCCATCGGTCTAACTGCTTCACTCCCAAACCAAGGAAGATTCATCCACCGGCAATGGTACCAACTAATCCAGCTTCTTTTTTTCATTCTGTTTTTGTAATGTCTGAGGTGGAAAGAGTACTACAATTTCCTACTTAAAGGTATAGCAATCGATGTGTCTGAATTTCAGGAAAGAACCACCCTCTCCACGTTGCGCAACACTCTCCCAGCGCCTGTTTACAAGCAGCTGCCGGCCGTAATGTGTAATAAGAGGCTCTAAAATCAGCATGCAGAACGTTAGCTTACCTCTCGAGCAGAAAACCGGCAACAGCGGGGTCTGTGGGGAGCAGACTGGACCGCATTATCCTCTTCCTGATTTCCATGAGTGCGGGGGTGCACAGAGTACGCATGCGCAGGAAGTGAAAATTTACCCAGGATTGGCTTCACCAGAAATTGACATTTTTGCGGACCAATGGTTGCTGTGATCCACCCGGAAGGAAAACATCGATTGCTATACCTTTAAATACGAGTACCAGTACTTTGATAATTTTTTACTCAAGTACAAGTAAAAGTACTTGTCTAATTTTTTACTCAAGTAAAAGTAAAAAGTATCTTAAATAAAATGTACTCAAAGTAAAAGTTACTTAGTTACATTTTTCTCAGTGTAAGGATGGCTACATCTAAGTAGTGAAAAATCAACGCCAGTTCACAACATGCTGGTGTGTGCACGCACACACACACACACAGTTTGATGGAGGGATTTTCATCCAATCAGTGAGAACTGGACGTGCACATTGATTGGAAGAGGTTCTTCTAGGATTGTGATTAAAATTATTCTTTATTTTGAGAAAGAAATTTTTTTTGGATGCCATCAGCATGTGAGGTATCTCAATGTTCTCATGACAAAACTCTAACATGAGACTGTGCTCTAACCTGTCACATAACAAGCTAAATGAAAGTCAAACATTTCAGATGGACCGTATGACAGCTGCTAACGTCGGCCCTGCCCTACTTTACCTCTACATTACAGTTCCTTTATTCGTGTCCATCCTAGAGCTCCTCACTGACCTTCATGCTTATTTAGAGCAGCTGATGTTTAAAGTTAGCAGAGTTCATCCTTGGTAGTGGGTTCACTCACTCATTTAACCCTTCACCACTGAAATCAGTTTGTTCATTCCAATCCTTCTAAATAATCCTCCAATCATCCAGCTGGAATCCTTAAGGGTCCCGTAACATCCATCCTATCAGAACAGGCCTTGGGAGCCCAGGTGTTACTAGAACTAACGGTGTCTCCTCACCAGCGTGAGCCTCCTAACCCCGGGTTTCCATGGGAGCCGTCAGCAGCACGTTACTGCAGCTGCACGTCTTGCTCGCGTGAGCTGCTGCTTGGCCCTTCCCACGAGACGCGAAGCAGCAGGGGAGCAGCTGTCACCGACCGAGCATGAAGTCACACGAGTGACTTCGTCAGTAAACACAACAACAAGCAGGAGAAAATTACAACATGGTTTGTGTTTTATGTTCTGTCCGCTTTATAATCGCCAATACGGACCTGAAAAACAAAGGAGACCGCTAGCTAGGTGATAACTTCTCACGGGGATGCACAGTTAGTAACGTTTTTTAAAAGTAAAGCAACCGGAAAGCAGTACGTTCTTTATTCTGAAAATCTCGGGAGCTTCTCTCCATTTCCGCGTCCGATTTCCTGTCTTTCCTTCCCCAAAAATGTCGAACTTGACCCGTTTCAGAGGCGTCGCGCGTAGAAAATAGAACCGGCGCGTAAAGGCCGCGACATGCTGCTCCTGAGACGCGGCCGACTCGCGCTGCTGACAGCTCCAGTGGAAAGCCGGGGTAACTGTGAAGGTTGGTCTCCAAACATGAACTTTAAATTCATGCATTTATCTCCTCTTGTAGCACGTGAACATGTTTTAAAAGGCTTGTATCATGATAAGTTACACCTCTCAGACCAAAGATAAGATAAAATATTATCATAGACACTATTAAGACGTCATTTATGAAATACAAGTTATTTTTGTTCACCATTACTTCAACCAAATAATAAGATGCATGGATTTGAGGAACCACACTGTCTCATGCAGTCCTAACTGTGTAACACACACACACACACACACCACTTTACCAACCCTAACTTTTAAATGCCTTTTTAAAGTGTATTTGAAATATCTTCCAGTTCTTTTTCTACCACAAGGTGTGCACCAGCACCAAAGAGCAGACATGAAAAAGATAAGTATTAAACTACTCTAGGGGGTCTGGGGGCATGCCCCCCAGGAAGAAAATTTTGGACATTTTAAATTTAAAGACATCAGTCTGGTACAATATGAGAAAAAGCTCAAAAGCATGGAAGCTGTTTTTGGAAGAAGCTGTTCTTGAGGAATAAGAAAATGAAAGAACAACATTTTGTTTTACTCCATTTCCACGCGTCACAAAGTCCGTCTTTTTCTATCACCTGTGGTGGATATAGAGATCACTAATGGGCCATTCCCATCTGTACCGGGTCGGCCCGGGCTGGGTAGCCCCAGTCATCCCCAGCCTGGCCCGGTTGATTCCACATATCCTTGTCTTAAGCCCATGTGGGCTGATTCTACCCACCAATCAGAGGCTTGCTCTAATGGAAGGTGTGAATTTGCTGTCAGCAGTGGGTGTGTTGGCCCTGGTCGGCCTGAAGCAGACCCCCTCGAGAAGAGGGCTGAGAATGAGCCTTGGTTGGCCCGGAAAAATACCAGGCCACCCAGATATGTAAACAACCTACGCTACCCGGCCCGGGCCGACCCGGTACAGATGGGAATGGCCCATAATAGGAGGACCTGGGTCCGGATCCGGACCGAAATGCTGTCTGGTGTGGACCCGAGCCTAATGCCAAAATTAACGTTCGCCTAATTTTATAACCGCTTCTGGCCGGTGCAGCTATTGCATTCTTTACGGTAGTATTCTAGCATCCATGAACACCCACAGGCCAATTGTGCGCGAGTTTAGTCAGACCACGTGACACCAACAAGCCAATAACATGTCACGTTCCTGCCAGAAAACACAGCCGACACGTAGCAAAAATAAACGTTTCAGAAGGAGAGCAGTGAAGAGCAGGAATTCGAACAGAGAAAACAAGAGATTCAGGCGGAGAGCGGTGGAAAGGAGGAGACATTCAGGCAAAGAACAGGAGAGCAGCGACAAGGAGAGATTCGGTTGGAAAGGAGGAGGAGTTCAGGCAGAGAAAAGGAGAGCGGCGACAAGGAGAGATGAGAGAAGTAGAAAAAGCAGGAATGGCAGCCTCTAAAAAACGGAAAGTGGACAGCGAAAATAGAGCATTTAATCCAGAATGGACAGAGTCATTTCTCTTTGTTCTTCCCACTGGTGGCACAAAACAGTTCAGAAACAGTGGCACTTATTAAAAGTGGCAATGTGAAACGCCATTATGAGACAAAACACAAATGTTTTGAAGAAACATATCCCCTCAGATCAGAAGTAAGATCAGAGAAAATACGTAGTCTCAAAGCCCAATATGACCAGTCCACCAGGATCCTGAGCCACACGTTCACTGCTCAGCAACGAGCCCATGAGAGTTCCCTCAGAGTTTCTTGGATTTTGGGTCAGCACAAAAAACCATTTACTGATGGAGAGGTCGACAAAGAGTGTATGACAGCAGTTACTGAAACACTTTTTGAAGGAAAAGAAAAACAAGAAGCTTGTGAAAGAATAAAGCAAATCCCCATATCAGCATCATCTGCTACAAAGAAAAGTGAAATACTGACTCAGGATGTTGTAGCCCAGCTAGATGAAGTCATACAGAAGGCACCATGTGTGGGTTTGGCTGTGGATGAGTCCACTGGCGTGTGTGATAATGCTCAGCTGTTGGTTTATGTGAGGTTTTGTTACACAGAACAGAAAGCATTCTATGAAGACCTGCTGGGTATTACTCCTCTTCAGACCAGCACAACAGGAGAGGACATCTACCTGGCCATTATGGAGATGTTGGCAAAGAGAGGAATTGAGCCTACAAAAGTGATTTCAATAACTACAGATGGAGCCCCTGATATGATAGGGAGAGAAAAGGGAGCTGTAACAAGAATGAAGAAAGACAACCCTGACCTCTTAACCTACCATTGCATTTGTGACGACCCTCGCCCCCTCGGTCCGTCCTCTCATCCCAGCCTGAGACTTTTGTCCCCGCTGCAAAGAATCCAGCACCAGGGACAGCGCCAGGAGTGGCCTGCTCACTCTCCAGCGCCCTTTCAGGACCTCGGAGAGAGGCACGCCGGCAAAAGACAGCAGCTGATCTTCATCAGCTATCAAGCGGCCAACAGGTTTAAAAGGAGGAACGCAGCAGACGTCGAGGAGATCCTAGATTAGCCGGAGGTTCTCCCTAGCTCACGGACATGCTTTGCTAGGTTTAAAACCGTTACCAATCGGGTTTAAGGTTGTTTACACCGTTACCGTTTGGGTTTAAGGTTGCTGCTGGAGATCCTGGATTAGCCGGAGATTCTCCCTCGCTCTTTGACACTCCTGATTACAGTGCTACCGTTACCACTCGGGTTCAAGGTTATTTACACCGTTACCGTTT